TTTTATTTAACATTTTGGGAAAATGGAGGCTAACTGCGATTTGGTGACTTACCCATAGAGCCCTGGAAAGCACACTATTCAACTCTGAGTGCTGGTTTTACTGCTAGAAATTGTCCAACCATAGTTGAGATTCTGCTGTGTCATTCATTTTATTTGGTACTTTATATGCATTAGTTTCACTCCTTACAATAGCCTTAATAAACTATTAGGGGGCTTATTTTACAGTTGAGGAAACTGAGGTATAAACCTATAAAATTAATTGTTCAATTTCCCTCAGCTGGGCAGAGCTGATTTCAGTGTAAAACTGGCTAGCTCTCTGGGGTGGGAAAGGGGGTAAATTCCCCATCCTCACCACTCCTCCTTTACCTGTCTTCTCTCCACAACATACAGAAGGATAGGTGAGCCCAGAGTAGACTTGCCTCCTAGAAGACTGCTTGGAACAGGCCTAGGGAACTGTGACTGGTCAAGGCCATGCCTCTGGAGCTACTGCATAAATCCACACACTTCTCGTTATGCCTCTAAACTCAGCTTTCTCTAAGTTGGCTGAGCTGGTCCCAGGAAACTGGTCCAGGAGCAGAATGTGCAAGTCTGAGGCTGCAGCTATCTTCTCCTCTCCTGGAAGGGGTAGGTTTGTGGCTGGTCTCCTGCCTGGTTTTGGGGTAGAGGGGAAAAGGAAGAAGCTCTGACCTTGTAGCCAATCTTCCACTGGTCCCAGAATGGCCCAAACCTGGCCCTGGGAACTGAGATGGCCTCAGTCCTTTGTGTTACAACATACTCCCTACAAGCATAGCACCAGCTCCAGCAAACAGCTCTGGCTGGGACCACAGACTAGCTTAAGAAGGTTACCTTAACCCCCAGTCCACCTGAAACTTAGCCATACTGGTTGAAAAACCTGAAGGTTAGGGGGCCCTGCACTTGGCAGTGCCACTTTCTTGGCAGCAACCTTGAAAGAAGGCAGCCCCAGCCTAGGGGAGCTGCAAAGTGTGTCCCTTTTGTTCCTTTTACTTTCTGCCCCACTTACATCTGAAGAACACTTGTGGTCCTAAGTAAAAGCATTATAACCCAGGAATGATAGCTTTTGAACCTGGGGTAGCAAGCAGTATGGAGAAGAGGATTAGGCTGGAGTTAGTTAGGTGGGGGTAGGCTAAGGGGTTGGCAGCTATGGGAGATCCATGCTAGCCTCTTTCCTATTGTCCTGGAGTATAGAGGTATAGATACTATGATGGTTATGAAGGAACATGGCTTTGAGCAGGACAAGATGGGGAGGTAAGAGATGGCCTAGTTTCAAAGCTGGTCCTTGCCAACAAAGATGACCCTGGGCTTGCTTGGGAGGAGGGCCTGAACTAGGGGGAGAGAAACTCTGTCCTGTGGGTATTGAAAGGGGTTTGGCAGTGTACCCAGAGATGAGACCAGGAGAGATTAGTCCAAATTTAATGAAAAGTGACAGAGACCCACTTGGGCAAAGATGGCACCTGATCTGAGGGTGGTTGGGGTCTTGTTTTTATACTGTGCATAGTGGGAGGAAGATTCCACAGCTTGCTGGGAGTTTTTGGTGGGCTAGGGTCTTTCCAGGGTAACTCTTGGGACAGGCCAGCTAGGCTTTTTGTTCTAAGGGAGGAGGAAGAACAAGGTTTTAGGCCCCTAACAGATAATAACCCTGCCTTTCTTATCACCTTCAACACACACATACACACACAGAGCAATTTTAAGCTTCTCTTAGCAGAGGACTTTGTATAGATCCATACATGTCTTTAAAATCCCCTCACTCCTGCTCCCTCCTCAGCCTTCAGCATGGGTGAAGGCAGCTAGTCCCTCAGCTCCCCATAGTGAAAAGCTTTCCCAAATGAGCACCTTTTTGCACATCGTCTGCTACTTCCTAAGAAACTGGAAGGAGCCAATAATAGTAATGCCAATCTTTCTCATTTGAACTGTACTTATGGTTTACAAAGTACTTTTTGGTGCCTGTTGTTGCATCTAATTCTCACACCACTGCAGTTGGACTAGTGAGGTAGGGGGATAGGTAGAGGAGCTGTTTTGATCTCAAAACATCTCACAAGTACCTGAGCCTCAGTGGGCTACCTTGGCCTGCTCAGGTTCCCTTAGCAGATGAAAGACTGGCAAGACTTGGACCCCAAACATACACTCTATACACTGCATCTGCCTGTGGCAAGGAAGGGGGCAATATAGAGAGTGGTTGGATGGGCTAGCCTCTATCCCTAAGGAGTACAGGAGCTAGGGAAAGAGGAGGCCCAAAGGGACTCCTTTGATGGTGCATCAAAGTTCTGCAAAGTAGTCATCTTTGTAGTTCAGTTTACCTAATCCCTCAGTTCCCAGGAGCTCCAGTTCCAAACCCAGCTGGACAAGTCAGGCTTTGATTCACAAGAATGTCTAGGCTCACAAAGTCTATCACTTTGCCCTTGGGTCTTCCTTGAGGCTCAGCCATACATACTTACCAGTCTCATACACCTCTTTTTCTAATTTACTACCATTTCCACTAAATGTGTCTTGACAGTGCCCAGACTGAATGTGTCCTCCTCAAGGCAGCTTTTCAGAGGCCAGACGGTGTTCTTTTTGCCCTTCATTTACCTGGGGATATGTTAACAAGGTATAAAGTGTGATACTCCGTCACTCAATTTAAGAAATAACAGAGGTCTTTATACTTTTACATATAATACTTTCTCTATTAGCCTAGGAGCTCCCTAAAAGCAATGGCTGTGGGTCACTTCTTCTTGGTCTGCCCTTCAGTGCTGAATTCTGTAAAAGTTAATGAAATTTCACAAACAAGTCCACTACTGCCATCCCAACTTTCCTATCCCCAATACCATGATGACAACCCTGGTTGTAATTTTAAGGCTTAGTTGAAAACATCTGCTGTGGAAAGTGGGGGATTCAGATAGATGATAAGGCACCTATTTTCATCAGACCAGACCCTGGGGCAAAGAACTCTAGGTGATTGTGTGTGTGTTTGAGTGTGAGTGGGAGGGATACTATCTATCATGGGACTCTCAGTCGCGGGACTGAGTTGGAATAGTGTGATGTCAAAATATATTACACAGAAAAATACCTAACCTGAGAAAATTGCAATGCAATTCTCTGCAGAGAAGGGATCACCTTTACTTTTTTGGATAACCAGCCATTATCTTGCTCTAATTTTAATATTCAGTTCTGTAGACTGCTTTTGATGGAAGCTTGGATTGCACTGATGATTCAAGTATCAAGCCAAGCAAGGTACCAGGTACAAAATTAGTGTTTGCAAGATAGGATTGGGGTCTCCAGGAGGGACTCCTCTCATGAGGTCAGAGGCTAGAATGTAGCTATCAGCCTCTCTCTACCCTCAGTGCTGGTACATAGTCTTCTACTTCAGGTGAATGTGTGAATCTTACTACTGTGGCAATAAATCACAGGGCTGGTGTGCTGGCTAGCTGCTCTCTGACCAATGCAGGATACAGTAGTGCTTTCCTCATCCCTCCCCCACCCTCTTTCTTTTCTTCTCCTTATTTCCATCCCTCTTCTGTCTCTCATCTCTAGATCCCTTGTCTGCTGGTTTCTACTGTTACAGAAAAGGGACACACTTTCCAAGGAGGGACGATTAGGTTTGAGCAGGCTGATCACTGATCCAGCTACATTCACTGGAATATACCAGATTTGGGGTGGGGGAAATGTGTTGGGGTAGGTAGTGGTTAGCCCTTCTTATTCCATTTCTGTTGGCATATGAGTGTTTGGAGGATTGGGAGCATAGACCAGAAAGATGTGGCTTGTATCAGGTTTATTTATTTAAATAACTATTAAGAGCTTACCCCCCAGGACAGGAACAAGAATCATTGCAGGGGTGTCCAACCTTTTTTTTTTTTTCTTTGTCATACATTGGAAGAAGAGTCATCTTGGGCCACATATTAAATACACAAGTACTAACAAAAGCTGATTAACATAAAAATGTATTGCATACTTTTCATGATTTCATGACACCACAAATAAGCAAAAAAAAAAAAAAATCCTCACAAAATCAGCATACAATGGCCCACAGGCTGCAGGTTGGACACCCCTGAGTAGTGCCTTCAAGGAGTTCCCTTCTTAGACAGGGAGCTAGATGGGGGCCAAAATAACCAGCTGAAGAGAGTAAACGGGAAACAGTATGCATCTTGGTTATAAAGTGGAATATAGAGGTTCCAGTTACTGAGGGCAACATTAAAATCTCTTTCCCGTAGGTCAATAGAGTCTGACCTGGATCTAACCCTATCATAACCTTTATGAAGGAGATATATTTATTGTCCTCTTGGATGATGGGTGATAAATCCCAGAGCCTCCCTTTCCTGAGGCCCCTACATCATCTTAGCAGGTCCTGGAATGCAGCCCTCTGTGGGTCCATGAGGTTCCTACTCTGGGGTTCTGAAGGTCTGAGCCTGATACTGTAGGAAGTTTAGGAAGCTTGTAAACAAGAGGTGAATGTTCAGGTCTACTTCTCTTCCCAGCTCCAGGAAAAATGTCAGTGATAGCCCAGGCTAATGTGGAATTGAGGCCTGAATCCACTAGAACCCAGTGAGGACTTAGTGGGCCATTTTGTCAGATGATTTTCAAACATTCTGTGTTGTTAGAGCCAACCTTCCTCTGCCCTTTCTTGCTTTTCTCTATTCCCACTCTTTTTGATAACTGATAATTCCTCTTGCAGCCAATAGTGCCATGGACCTTTCGCACATCTGTGGGTTCCTGCCCAGTGCTCCCCTGAGTTTAGGGTGGCCTGAATGGCTAAGCATATGGAGTGCGTTAAAGTTTTTTCATCATTCTTTCTTTCTATTACATTCTTTCTGGTTCTATTCAAGTCTGAGACCACAAACACCTGTGAAAACAAATCCAGTCTGGATGCTTGCTCACTAGTATCTGTTTCTCTTTGTCTCTCTCATCTCCTACAGACCCCACTGTGATGTTTCCTGACTGATGATGTTCAGCCTAGAAGTCCAAGGCTGCATTTCCAGCTGAACTGTACCTGAGTAGTCCCCATCACCATGGAAACCCAAAAGGATGAAACTACTCAGGTTAAAGGAGCTACAGTCTTTGGGGAGGCCCATGACCAAGGGGCAGAGAAAGAAAGCAAGAACAAGGCAGCTGAGGTGACAGAAGGACCAATGTCAGAACCACTCTCCTCTGGCCCAGGTAGGCTGAAGAAAACTGCCATGAAACTCTTTGGTGGCAAGAAGGGTATCTGTACTCTGCCTAGTTTCTTTGGTGGAGGAAGAAGCAAATATTCTGGGAAAGGCAGCACTAAAAAAGTTCTCAATAAGAGCAAGACCCATGAAGCCCTGAGTGAAGCAGCTCATGGCTCTGAAGATGTCAGTGAAGGAACCAGCTTCTCCCTAACTTTGCCTGAGTTACTCTGCCAATTTCCCAGCTCCCAAAGTATCCATGGGGTTTTGGAGAGAGGCTTCAGATATAAGATATCTATGGCTGGAGTCACAGAGAAAGCTGGGGCTGAGAAGGTTCCCTTTTTGCCCAAGCCAAAGAAAGGCCTAAAAGGCTTTTTTAGCAGTATCCGGCGTCACCGGAAAAGTAAGGTTGCTGGGCCTGAGCAAAGTGATCCAGAGGCCAAGGGGCCTGAGGAGGCCAGAGGTAGGCCTCATGAACATGTGAGCTCAGCCCCTCAGGTGCTCCATGCTGATGAGGCCTTCCAAGCCTCTCAAAAGGAAAATATCAAACCTCAAAATGTCCCTGGTCCAAAAGTTTTTCCAGCACCAGAGCCTTCTCCACCAGGTACTAAGAAGACAGCCTGTAAAGATCCAGAAAATCCCACAGTGGCCTTTGCCTCAGCACTCATGCAACCCAAGCCTGCTCCTGAAGCCAGTACCCAAGAGGAACCCCATATCCGAGAAACAGGGGATAAGGTGGTGGTAAATCAACCCAACTGCCCTGTAGGGGACCAGCTGAGCCTCCTGTTTGGTGATGTCACATCCCTGAAAAGCTTTGACTCACTGACAGGTTGCGGTGACATTATAGCAGAACAGGACATGGACAGTATGACAGATAGCATGGCTTCTGGTGGCCAGAGGGCCAACCGAGATGGGACCAAGCGAAGTTCTTGCCTGGTGACCTACCAAGGAGGCGGGGAGGAGATGGCCTTGCCAGATGATGAGGAGGAAGAAGAGGAAGTGGAATTAGGAGAGGAAGAGGATGAGGCTAAGGAGGAGGAGGAGGAAGAAGACAATGACTTAGAATATATTTGGGCAAGTGCTAAAATATATCCAAGGCACAATCTGAACCTGAGCTACCATCCCACCACATCCCCAGGCCACTATGGCAACATGCTCCTTGACCCAGTTAGGTCTTATCCTAGCCTATCCCCTGGAGAACTTTTGACTCCTCAAAGTGACCAGCAAGAGTCTGCCCCCAATAGTGATGAAGGTTACTACGACTCCACTACACCTGGATTTGAGGATGATTCAGGTGAGGCCCTAGGGCTTGTTCTCAGGGATTGCCTACCCAGAGACAGCTACAGTGGAGATGCCCTATATGAGTTCTATGAGCCAGATGATAGTCTTGAGAACTCCCCTCCTGGGGATGACTGCTTTTATGACCTCCATGGCCACAGCTCTGGAATATTTGACCCCTTCTTGAACTTTGAGTCCCTTTCTTCCTCCCGGCCACCTGGGGCAATGGAGACAGAGGAAGAACGACTAGTGACTATCCAGAAGCAGTTATTGTATTGGGAGCTCTGTCGGGAGCAGCTTGAAGCCCGAGAGGCATGTGCCCGAGAGGCTCATGCCTGGGAGGCCCACACCAGGGAGGCCTATACTAGAGAAGCGCATGCCAGGGAGGCCTATACCAGAGAGGCCCACACGTGGGAAGCTCATTCCAGGGAGACTCGGACACGAGAAGCCCAAGCCTGGGAAGCTCGTGCTCTAGAGGCTCAAGTCCAAGAAGCTCAGACCTGGCAGGAAAAGCCTGTGTTGGAGTATCAGATGAGGCCCTTGGGCCCATCAGTGATGGGCCTAGTGGCAGGGACATCAGGGGCTTCTCAGATTTCCCACCGAGGAACCACCTCAGCTTTTCCCACCACTGCAAACACTGAGCCAGACTGGAGGGACTTCCGTCCTCTGGAGAAACGCTTCGAGGGAACCTGCTCCAAGAAAGATCAAAGTACTTGCCTGATGCAGCTCTTCCAGAGTGATGCTATGTTTGAGCCAGACATGCAAGAAGCAAATTTTGGAGGATCTCCCAGGAGGGCCTACCCTACTTACTCACCCCCTGAAGAGCTAGAGGAAGAGGAGGTTGAGAAGGAAGGAAATGCCACTGTGAGTTTCTCACAGGCCTTGGTAGAGTTCACCAGCAATGGGAACATCTTCTCCAGTATGTCTTGCAGTTCTGACTCTGATTCATCCTTCACTCAAAATCTCCCTGAGCTACCCCCCATGGTGACTTTTGACATTGCTGATGTGGAACAGGATGGGGAAGGCAAGTGTGAAGAGAGCCCTGAGTTCCACAACGATGAAGACCTTGCAATTTCCTTGGAAGCCTTTGAGCTGGGCTACTTCCACAAACACACCTTCAGCAACTATCGCAGCCGATTCTACCAAGACCTTCCCTGGGGTGTGAGCAGCCTCCCTCGATACTTGGGACTTCCTGGCATGCACCCTAGGCCTCCACCTGCTGCCATGGCCCTCAATAGAAGGAGCCGCTCCCTTGACACTGCAGAGACCCTGGAGTTAGAGCTCTCTAATTCCTACTTGGTGCAGGGCTACCTGGAGTCTGATGAACTTCAAGCCCAGCAAGAAAATTCAGATGAAGATGAAGAGGAGGAAGGAGAATGGGGCCGAGATAGTCCATTATCCCTTTATACTGAACCCCCAGGGGCCTATGATTGGCCCACCTGGGCTCCCTGTTCTGTTCCACTGGGGCCAGGTCCTGCCTGGATAAGCCCTGGTCACATGGATGGGCTTTCCAGTCAGTCTTCATATGGCCAGGCATCCTGTTGTGTACCTTCTATGGCCATGTCAGTGTCACTGTCATTGTCAGGGCCGGAGTCAAGAGCATCTGGGGAACCTGGGCCTCAGCTAGCTTGGCCTTCACACCTACTCCTGCCCAAAGGCCCATGCTATAACCTTCAGCCACAGGCCTCCCAGAGCATGAGAGCCAGGCCTCGAGATAAGCTGATGCCTATTGAGGAGCCTAGTTGCTCTTCTAGTTCTGGAGGCTTCAGCTCTAACCCTCTGCCACAGGCCAAGCCTGTTGGTATCACCCATGGCATTCCTCAGCTGCCCAGGGTCCAGCCTGTACTGCCCCAGCCTCTGCCCATTTGTTATAGACCTTCTAGCCTTGAACTGTCAAAGGAGAGGGCTAAGCAAGGTGCCTCTCTCCCCACCAGCTAGTCATCCACAGCTGTGAATGGGAACCTAGCCAAGTAGTCATCATTAATTCCAGAGTAGGGGCATGGGGCCTGAGCATGTGAATGGATATCAGGGGTTGGGCAGAGGGGTGGGGGTTGGGGGTTGCTATTTAACTTGAAAATGCTTTTGGCCTAGGAAAATTCCTATGATTTTTCACCTTTGTTTTCCAACTTCCTTCTTCTGCCATCTATGGCCACATTCAACTCAAGTACATCTGTCCAGGAAGGCAGTGGCTACTGCTATTGTTGTTGCACTCTGGTTTTTACTTTTAGGGTTTCTTCTTGTGACCCACACAGGGTTTGGGATGCTGTAATTTTGTGCCTACTCTAGTTGCTAAGTTAGTGATTTTATATATATACATATATGTGTGTGTATATACATATATGTGTGTGTGTGTATATATACACACATATGTATATACATATATTTTATATATAAAATCATGCATCTCTGGCACAGGCTGAACTATTAGTGCCCCCTCCCCCTTTCCTCCAGTAAATGATGGACCACTGATGAGCAACCATGTCTGGACTGCCTCCCACAGGGGTACAGGTGGTTTGTTTGCTGTTAGCAGTGTGAAACTGTGGTACAGATTCTTCATAAACCCATTCCTTTCAGCCTTGGCATAGTTGCCACTGTTATATTAGGTGATTATAAGCTATTCATTCCAGCTAACTATCCTTAGGATCAAGTAGTACATGTTTCACTAGCTATTGCTGTAGATCTTAACATCATAATCAGATGGGGTGCCTTTTAACCTGAACTTCCATAGCTTAGGTTGAAGACAAAAATACTAATCCCTTTAGTGGAATAATTAAATTTGTCCTGTTGAAAACAAATATCAAAAGGTTCTGTTATGAACACTGCCACAGAGTCTTGAGCTCTGGAATGATAGGATTTATTTTTTTCCTTCTTCCTCTCTTAAGACTGTGACTGCCTGAGCTGTAGATGTTTCTGAATTTTTGTTCTTGTTTTTCCTTAAAAAGTTATCATAATTTCATCAAAAGGAACACAGTTTTTTAAGGGAGAAAAGCAACCTAAAGTAGGCTTGGCTGTAGGGGTTGGGGTTTTTGCAGGATGCAGGCAAAGGATAAAAAAATCCCAGCCAGCAAAAGAAAAGATTTCAGACTTTGTGGAACTTGAAATAACTCAGATTCTTAGAAGGAAAAAACTGCTTCCAACCCAACCTCCCACTCCATCATTTGGACACTGTAATGAGCCTCTAGGCTTGAGGTCCCAAGAAAGGATACCAAAGGCATCTCAGCTGCTGTTCTGGTCTCTTTAAAAGCTTTCATCTTCCACTTAGCTTAGTCCTTAGCATCATCAAGGGACCAGGTCTTGAGTGGAAAGATTGTGACCTGCCCTCACTCTGCCAAACTGCAGGATTCTGATTTCCATGGCAGTTGCATCCCTTCCTGGAATTAATGGTACCCTACCTTCTGTATCCATGTAGTTTTCATGTTAAACTAGGTTGGAAATACAAGTGAAGAGCTTGCTGTCAGGAAGATATCACAACAGGCCGATCTTGCCAGGCTCAGCTTCTCATTAATCACTTGCATAAGAGGATTCCTTTTCAATTTCTTTATTGAAGATGATAAACATCCTTGCCTGGATGCATTGACCCAAATCATAATTCTTGCTCCCCCAGCCTACACACATCTCTATTCCTTTTGAGATAAGAAGTCAATAGTGCTCTTGCCATTTTTGATGTATGTCAATTTACCTTCAGAACAGATGTTGTTGGCCCTCTGAGTCACGGTGACTTTGTGGGTAAACAGTTCCTTGGCCAGGGAATGTATCCAGTATCCATACTGGTCTTTGTAATCATTTATCAGATTGGGGTTGGCCCAGTGCCTTTCCCTACAAAGAGCAGATCTGGCTGTACCCTTGGAATCACCACATGAGTTTGCATGCCATCAATATCTTCCCTAAGGGACTAAGATCAGCTATCCAGGCTGACTTTAGCTACATCATGGAGAAATGCATCCTGTGTGGAGCCAGAGAATGAAAGAGGGTGAGGAAGGCCCTCCACTTCAAGCACAGCATTTCAGGATAGAAGTCGCTAAATTCCAACCATATGGCCTCTTCCAAAGCTGCTCTGAAATGGTGGGGTTGAAATTGGCCTGGCTGTTTGGCAGGAAGTAAATATTCACTAAATGCCTTTACATCAGGGGAAAACCCACCTTTTCTGTCTTCCCTCAGGCAGCTTGAGATCTGTCTGCATGTGCACTATGCTCACCACAGCAGGCAGCAGATCCATCACCAGCCTCCAGAACCTCTTGGAGAGGGCCACCACCCTATCTGTTAATAGGAAGAGAAAGTGGTTAATTTTTGGACAAGGGCTGAAGGCTACCCTCAAAGTCATGAGGGCAGCATGAGGTACTGCCTCTAAGGCGAGCTGTCATACCAGATAGGCTGACGTACCTATCTGGACTATGGAAGGTCACACACCACAGAGCAGGACCTGGGACTGAGTGGGAGTTCATGGCTTGGACAACATTGCTTCCTGCAAGTCCTGTTACCACCTCAGTCAGTTCAGAACAGGATCCTCAGCAGCAGAAGTGGAGCAGTCAGGATACATGGCTGCAGAAGTAGGCTTCTTTGAGTCTTGAGAGCTGAGTAAGTTTATGGCTTCACCCAGCTTCACCTTATAGAACAATGGTTCTTAACCTTCCTAATGCTGTGACCCTTTAATACAGTTCCTTATGTGGTGACCTCCAACCATAAAATTATTTTTGTAGCAATGAAATAATTTTATGGTTGAGGGTCAACACAACATGAGAAACTGTATTAAAGGGATGCAATATTAGGGAGGTTGAGAACTACTGCTATAGAAGGAAGGCTGAGGACACATGGTAAGGGTAGCACAGGATGACACTAGGAGAGCCAATCAAACTTTAGGCATCTCTCCAAGCACAGGCCAGGGCTGGCTTGGCTGACACCAGATATGCCCCAGACTACTAAAGAAAGTTGTCACTGTCATGTCCACCCCTTCTAGGCTGTGACCATTTGAACACCATGTCTTCATTGGAAGGACCTGAGATAATGCTTTTGTATGTGACTTCAGGGGAAGATGTGACTTGAGAGGAGTTAGCTGCCCTCATCTTGGTGATGAGTTAGCATTCTTGGTGCTTTAGAGTATCCAAGGAGGCCCTGCCTTGGGGCCCACTTAGAGCCAGCCCTTCTATCTGGCCTCAGTGTGGGTACCAGGCCACAAGCCTCTCAAGATAAAGACTTCAATAAACACCAATCTCGCTCCCTCCTCAATGCTATACCAAGGAGGGAAGTTGCTTCTGACACCCAGAAGGCTGGGTGAGTGCCCCTCATCCTGTTGCTAGTAACTTTCCCACTTGTGCGAATGCCACTGCCGCACCTGCCCTTAGACCCCAGGTTCAGTTGCTAAAGGGTGGCGTGGGGGGGTTAGCAGGGAGACTTCAAGTTTACCCATGGGTATGTTGCATTCATATTGTTTTATATATATGTCAATAATCTATTTTTGTATTGTTTGCATTTTATATTCATGGATAATAATGCTTATCAATCGTTCTTTTCTGAATTATTTTTAACTGGTGCTGCTTATAGTTTTAAACAAAACAAAGATGAAACAAAAATCTGCTGCTAGTGCACAGGGCTGGCATCTCAACTGCCTAGGTCCCTCCCTACTTTCCCTGTCCCTGCTCTTGCTATATCCCACTGTCTGTTCTTTCCTCCCATGATAGGGACAGCAGAAGTTTCCCAGGTACCAAAGGCAGATGCCAGGTAACTCCAGTGTGTGAAAACTGGTAGATAGCATGTTTATTTTCTGGCTTTATGTTTTTTCTTTTGTACCTTCCCTTCCCTGTGTGAAGACCTTTTGAGATTATTCATTTCTCTTTTTGTTTCTTTTTATTTTCTTCTTTATGTTCTGTGCTTTTGTTTTGAAACCAGATTACCCATGTTGTGCTATTTGTCATGTTGAGTTTCTTCAAAGGAGCATTTTGGGGATATTCTCCACTCACTGGAAAGGTACAGAATTTCAGCCATGCCCCTTACCCCTCAAGAAGCTAGGGGAGACAGATGGCAATGAAACTTGAACTATTAGGAATTGACCATCTCTTTGAGGAAACCCTTATGTAGGCCTTTCCAGGAGCTCAATTGATTATGACATTTGCCCATAATGGTGTTTGGATATCTCCTTAACCCCTCTTGCTGCCTTAGTGGAATCTTTCCTCCTACCACTGTTCCCCTTCCCCACCTTGTTCCATCCATACATGTGGATGGTACTCTAGGGAACAGTATACCAGGGTGAGGGGTTGTTGAACTGACCCCTACTTTTCCATCCTGTAGTCACTCCAAATAAAATCCACATGGCATGTATATGTGTGAGAGTTGGGTCTATTGAGAGGCAGAGCTTTAATTGTTATTAAAATTGTTACTATTGGTGCTTATATTCTTTGCTGTATATGGGAGTAGGGTGAGGGGTAATAAAACAGGAATGTATATTTAGGTCATGTTAAATAAAATGGCTGAGGGAACAAAGGAAGAAATTAGAAACTGCAGGACATTCCACCCTGGGTGTAAGAGTTCATTCTCTACCAGTGTAGGAAGAGGATCATGGCCCCATGCTTGAGACATAGAATTGCCTGGGTTGTGACTTCTCCACTCTTGCCTCTCACTAACATCTGGATATTTCAATGCACTGCATGATTGTAATAACATATACTTATTTTGATTAATGCTAATAAACTTCTGGGTTCAAGAGGGACCCCTCCCCACCAGTCACTAAACTGCATTCTCGTGGTTTGTTCCACAGCTGCTTGCCTGTGACCCATTGTTGAGTTTTCCCTTGAAGGAAAATTAAGAAACGAAGGAGGGTGGGGGTTGGGTGCAGGCACCTAGCAAGAGAAGCAGAAGCAAGACCTGAAGCTGAAAGAGAAAACTTTAATTCTTCATCCATGTCGTCTTCATCCCAGTCAGATGCTGTGTTGGTAAAGTCTCTATCA